GCCGCCGCCGCCGCCGCCGCCGCCGCGGCCGCTGCCGGGGAGAGGTTAGAGCTGCTCTGGGGCTCAGCGCTGGGGGACACCAGCCCAGGGGGCGTGGACGACTCGTAGCCCGAGCTGGCGGCCGGGGAGGACTCAGAGCCCTGCGGGGAGGACTCATGGACCTGCAAGACAAAAGCCGGGAGGGGAGACCAAAGGGGACTGGGTGTGAGTGCAGCTGCTGTGGGGCCGCGCTCCCGGGGGGAGCACCCCCAGAAATGCCCTTCCCCTCGCTACTTCCGCGCCATCCGGGCCCCGGGGAACCCTGGCCTTCCCAGACTGGCAAGGGTGGTCCAGGCCCAACCCGCGCCGCGGGCCAGCCGCCTCGCACTCCTCCCGGCCTCCCCGGTGGTACCTTCATGTGTTTCCGCAGTGAGCTGGGGTGCGTGTAGGACTTGTCGCACATCTTGCACAGATAGGGCTTATCGGAGGTGTGGACGTGCATGTGCTTCTTCCTGTCGCTGCTGTTGGCGAAGCGCCGGTCGCAGCCCTCGAACTCACACTGGAAGGGCTTCTCCCCTGTGGATAGAAACATAGGCGCTTGCTGCCCACACCCAGAGCTTCCCGGAGCCCACACCCACTCTGGAAGGAGCAAGGCCGCTGCAAGAAGGAAAGAGGAACCAGAAGGGCCTGGGTCCCTTACCAGGTCGGATCGCCTCTGCGGCAGAACTAAGATGAAATTAACTGCCTTCCCACCTGACAGTCCTGCTCATTTACTTCATATTTTAATTTTCTTCCAGACTGACACCCATTTCCTCAGATTTATAATGAATTTGGGGTAGCACCCGGCCCTGCCCACCTTTCTATAGGACTCCTTGGATTCGCAGCTTCTAACAAACTGGTCTCGCCATGGAGAAGCTGTTATTATGACAAAATATTTAGGGCATTATCAAAATCAGGCAGGCTGCTGGGCTGCTGTCGGTTTGTCTCTGGGGCCAACAGGCAATTACATTTGGAGTTGCTATGTTTGGGGACGGGGCTGTGGATCATAACTGAGCCAGTATTTTTCATCCAAAATTCTGCAAATTAAATTAACCGTTATTCTAGTCTCACTTCTAGTCATTTAAAAATAAGTCGGGGAAAAAGGTAAATATTAGAGATAAGACAGCATCTAGCGATGGCAGAGGCACAAGCTGGGCAGTGGGGGTGGGGGACGTCAGCAAAGGCTTTCAAAATCTCCCTGTTTAATTTTCTGGCGGTCCCTGCATCCTGTTGCCAGAATTCCAAATGCTTGGAGTCATTTAGAGGTGTGAGAACTCAAACATCGTTCCTCTTGGAAAGGGGACCATTTAACGTTAAATTCCATTAGCACCTAAATTGTTTTTTAAAGACATCCGCTCAGACACAGGACTCGAAAGGATTTCATGCAAATAAATTTCTCAAATTTTAAACCTTGTTAAAAGCTTGTCTCGCACCTCGGCTCCCTCCCTTCCCGGAAGAGAACAATAGGCCGCTGGCGCATCCCCACTTTGGGGTAAATATTGACGGGGGAAGTTGCTAAAACATTTGGCTTTCTTTTAGGAAATCGTCTGGCACGATTTTGGCTGGGACCTGGTCAGAGATGAATAATCTATGAGTCGAGAGGCGCGTTCTTTTGCAGCTCCCTCCTCTCACGCGATTGCCCCGCGGGGCCGTCCGGCCCCGGGGTTTTCTTTGACCCGGCTGTTGGTCCAAGTTAGGAATCGCAAACCCTCTGGTTTTTCACAAACTACTGCGATCCCACCGTAAAGCCCCGCGACCTACCCCGAAATGGGCTTTAAAAACACTTCTTTTTTCTTTTTTTTAAACGAGAAATACTCTACAGCTTCGGCTCGCAACAGACTCATTTAATGGGAAAACAGTCCCGGGAAGGACTTTTGGACCGCGAGTAAAATAAGTGGGAAAACACACAAGCCACCCAAACACAGACACACAGCCGGAGCAGAAAAGCACATCCAGACAAGCTGGCAAAATCCTCTCTAGGCTCGATTCCCGGGCACCGAGTTGCAGAGCAGTTTTATTTTGTGCGTTCTATTTAGAACGGAAATTATTAACGGGGGCTGAGCAAACGAAGCAATTACATCACCCAAAACATACATTTGATGTTACACCGATCATTTAAAACCCAATTTCCATACATGGAAAAACCCAGCCCGATAATATTCTTTCTTTCTCCAACAAAAACAAGCCGCTGGCTGTCTCGCACACACAAAAACACCTCCCATCCCAGAGCAGGAACTGGCGGTCTGCGCGTTTCCCCCAGCCAACCAACCACAGCCTCTCTCTCCCCCGCGCCCCATCCCGTCCCGGCCCTCGGTTACCTGTGTGGGTCCTTTTGTGGATCTTGAGGTTCTCGGAGCGCGCGAAGACCTTGCCGCAGCCCGGGAAGGGGCAGGGGAAGGGTTTCTCGCCTGTGTGCACGCGGATGTGGTTGACCAGTTTGTATTTGGCCTTGAAGGGTTTGCCCTCGCGCGGACACTCCTCCCAGAAGCAGACGTGGTTGCTCTGCTCCGGGCCGCCGACGTGCTCCACGGAAACGTGGGTCACCAGCTCGTGCATGGTGCTGAAAGTTTTGTTGCAGCTCTTCTTGGGGTTGCTCAGCTGCTCAGGGTCGATCCACTTGCAGATGAGCTCCTGCTTGATGCACTGCTGCCGCATGTAGCGGAAAAAGGCACCAGGGTGGTGGTGGTGGTGGTGGTGGTGGGCCGCGGCCGCTGCCATGTTCATACCCATGTTCATATTCATGGGACCGTACTGGTTGTGGAGCTGCGCCGCCGAGTAGGGGTCGGTCCGCGGGCTGGCCACCTGGCGGTACTGCTCCGAGCGCCCGAACACCTCGCCGGGCAGCCCCAGGCGCATCTGCCCGTTGAGCACATTCTGCGAGCCGTGCGGCCCGTGCTGCTCCGGGAGGCCGGGGAAGAGGAGGTGGCCCTGCGCGTCCGAGTGCGCATGGTGCAGGCCGCCCGCTCCTGGCCCAAACAGCCCGTGCTGCCCGCCGCCCGGCGCCGAGTCCCCGAAGCCCCGGCTGCGGAACAGGAAGTCCCGGGTGGAGTTGAAAGGCGGCCCGGAGTAGGAGCCGACGTGCGCCGCATGGGGCCCAAGCGCGGCGGCCGCAGCGGCAGCCGCGGCAGAGCCAGGGTAGGCGCCGGGGCCCTGCGACGTGAACGCCGAGCTCTGGCCCGGGGACAGCTCGTGCGCGCCTGGGTTGAGCTTGAAGGCGCCCATGTGCGCGGCCGCCGAGTCCACGAAGCCGTTCTGCGCCGCGGCCAGGCTCAGTTCGCGGTCCTGCATCTCGGCAGCCGCCGCCGCCGCCGCCGCGGCCGAGTGGTGATGGTGGCGCGCGAAGCTGCCCACCCCGATGGCCGGGAACTGCGGCCCCGCGTCCAGTAGCATGGCCAGCGCGCCCACCCGCCCTGCCGGCCCCGGCGAGCCCCGCGCCTCCTCCGCTCCCACTCCCGCCCCGCGCGCGGTGCGTCCAGCGGCCGCCCGGCTCAGAGCGCAGGCGGCGGTGGTGGTGGCGGCTTCAGCCCCGGGAGCCGCGCTCCTGCGCCCGCCGCCTCCGCCGCCGCCTGGATCTGCCTCGGGCGGCCGGGAGCGGAGCGAAGGCGCGGAGAGGAAGAGGAGGAGGAGGCGGCGGCGGAGGAGGCGCGGGAGGAGGAGGAGGAGGAGGTGGAGGAGGAGAAGAGTCCAAAGCCAGGCGGAGAACCAAAGTGTATTAAAGGAGCTGCGGCGGGGGCGGGCGGGCAGGGCGGGGGAGGGCGGGCGGGAGGAGGGAGCGGGAGGGAGGTGTGGAGAGCGGAGTGGAGAGGGGGGCCAACGGGGGGCGAGCGCAGCGCCGCGGCCCCCACCCCTGCGCGCACCCGCGCGCGCACGCACACACTCACTCGCTCGCACGCCCCGCGGACCCCGGACCCGGCAGCGCCAAGCGGCGCCCGCAGAATGAAATCACAGCAGCGGCAGGGCCACCGTGCCGGAGCGCGGCGGCCGTGCACAGGCCAGGCAGGCGAGCGAGGAGGGGACGGAGGCGAGCTCCGCGCTTGGCGCCCTGACCCGGCGCGCCCACGGTCCACCTGACCGCGGCGGGGGCACTGGGGCGGCGGGCGGAGGCCGAGCGCCCTCGCCCCGCACGCTGGGTCGGCCGCTCCGTCCCCCGCGGCCCTACTCGAGCCGCTCCGCGCGCGGCGGGTTATTGTTTAGCGCAGCGGCCGCGGTGTTTAGCCCTCCTCGTCCTCCGCGCTTGGCATTGGCTGCGCCTAGCGTAGTAAACTTGCAGCAGCCACGAATTCCCCCAGATGAAGGAAGCTGCCGCGCCGCGCCTCTCCCTCTTTCTTTAAGTTGTGCGGGAGAAGGAGGCGGGGGAGGAAGAGAGATGGGGGCTGTGGGAGGGGAGAAGGCTTCCAGAGGGAGGGGAGGAGGGGAGGCTAGGCTGAAAAACAATAACAACAATAAAAAAGTGATCTCCAGCTCGCCCGCTTCCTCTGGCCGGTCGGTCAGACGCTGGACCCGGAGCGGGCAGCCGCGCTCCCGAGATCCGACCGGAGTCCGAGATCCGAGCAAGTGCGAAGAAGCCAAAGCAGGTCCCCCCCTTTCGGGTGCGGTGGGCTCCGCTCGCCACCTCCGCCTCTGTTTATTTCGGTGGGCTCTGCAGCCGATGCCGCAGCCTTTTATTTTTATTTTATTTATTTATTTATTTATTTTTTTGTCTCCTCCTTTCCTCTCCCCTCCCCCGCGTGCCCCCGCGTCTCCCGCCCGAGCCTCCCTCCCTCCGGCTCTCCCTCCCTCTCTCCCTCCGGCTCCAGGCCGGGACTCACGGTCACACCGCCCCTTTAACGGCGGCTCCCGCCCCGCCCGCCCTTCCGTCGCCACCATTGGCCGCCAAGGCCCCGTCAATCCAGCGCCCCCGCCCCGCGGCTGGTCCGCCCCTCCTCCCCCGCTCTCCCGAAGCTCCCCGCTGCCCCCGCAGCCGCGGACCCCGCGGATCGTCACAGCCAGCCCGGCCTGCCAGCCTACAGCTCCTCGCCCGCGCGGCCGGTGCTGCGGCTCCTGTTCGCGGCCGGCCGCGGCTCTCCCCGGAGCCGGGAGGCCCGCGTAATGCTGGCCCGGGCCGCGGGGTCACTGTGCCCTTGGCTGGGTCCGGAGGAGACAGCACCCTGCACTCGCGCCCTTCTGCAGAGGCCGCCGACTCCCCGGGGACCCGAGCCATTCCCGGCGGGCACCGAAAGCGGGCAACCGTGGTCACTCGAGAACTTGGCTGGCAACCGGGTTCGCCGGCGGGAGATTCCACGAGCCGGGACTCTACAGGCCCCGGGCCCAGTCGGGAGCGCGCGGCGGGGACGGCCCGGGGACCCGTCCCGGGATCGGTTGGCACGCTCTCTATCTACCCCCCGCCCTTTTTAAACTTACTCTGTGGTATTGAAAACACAGGTGCTGGGTGGTGGGCCTAGGTAAAGCCAGACATGCCCCTTCCTCCTACTCTCTGGACACTCATCCAGACACCGCCCCCCTCCCTGGCGGTGGCCCCCACTCGCAGTTCAGCGCGCTCGGCTCCCCCAGCCGCTCGCGTCCTGCTCCGATTACGGCAGTAAACACTGGGCAGCGGCCCCCTTGAGGGAGGGGGTTGATTGGAAGTCGTTTAAAGGCAGTGTATATCCTCGGGGTGGATGCCCAGATGCCCCGGCCGCTGCCACAGTGGGGTGGGAAGTATGGGGACGCCGGAGGCGCGCGGCGAAGCAAGGCTCAGGCTGGAGTTTGGCCGAGGGTCAGGCTCAGGGCCTCTAGAGAAGAAACCTCCAGACTGGTAGGGCTTAAACCTTCTAGAAGATATTTATCACTCCTTCTGCAGGACCTGGGAACGCCCCCCGCCCCCCCACCTTCGGGCGGTGGCGGGGCCGGGCGGCTCCTAGTGCCGCGCCAGGCCTGCCTCGCGGCTCTGGGGCTGCAGCCGTCCACCGGGCTCCCGGTTGGCCGTTGGGGACATTTCCTGTCCCGCTGCCGAAAGCTTGCGCTCCCAGAGGTAACCGGAGAGGGTACGCCGGGCCCGGAGGCTGCAGAGGTGTGAATGAAAGGCCTGAAGCCCGCGCCTTTCTTCGCCTAGCTGGCTAGAGAACTGCTTTTATTTACAAATCGCTGAGAGTTGAGATAAAATTCAAGTCAGAGAAAATAATCAACATGCATTTAAAATTTTCATGTTGAAATGAAATCAACAAAAACGCGGGAAGACAACTCTAGCTCGCTATTGCGGGGAGAGCCCGGCCTCTCTCCGCCGGCACAGGCAGCCACTCCCGGCTTAAGCGGGTCTCTGAAGGTCGGACCTGGCGGAAGCCCCTTGCATAAGGTGCCCTGTGTCCTCCCGCTGCCCCCACCCCATTGCCGTTGGAGGGGGGCAAGAAGGAGGGAGGCTGGGTCATCTTGTCTGAAAGCACGAGATTTTTGTCTGGAAGCTGGAGATTCTCCCCTTACCTCAAAGGAGGAAATGTTCCTCATTTCCACACACCTTGCTGTTGGGGGGGGGCAAATGCCAAACTGCCCCCCTAAGTAGAGAGGGCATTGAGAGAGAGACAGAGACAGAGAAAAGAGAAAATCTGCAAGGAGAAAGGCTGCCTTGCTGTATCGAATAAATAAAAAAATTGCCCAGTGCACAGCCTTTCACATTTGTTTACTTTATTCATCAATTTATATGGGGGTGGGGAGGATTGAAAAGCTTACTCCAAAAGTATTTACTAAATAAAATATTTTCTTAGAGACTGGTCGTCCTTCACATCTAGAAACCTCACTTCCCTCCTTTTTCTTAAGCCACCAGACTTCAAGTTTTCCTCCTTTCCCACTTTCTCGCCTCCTCCCCAGTCCTCTGTCCCTCTCCTCTTTGCCCCATTCTCTCTGTTCGCTTTCATTCGCCTTTTGCAGCGTCCGCGGTTCGGGCTGACGCGGCTGGGCGCTCGCTGGCGCTAGACTCCGGGGACCGCGCGCGGCCCGGCCGTGGGGCCGACTCCTTAATTCCCGCGGGAGAGCCCGCGGGCTGGGCCCTCCTGGCTATTCTTTCCCGGCTCCAGTTCTCCTCTCTCTGCGGGACACAGAGGAGCTGAGCCAAGTTCAAAGTCATGTCGCCTTCCCCGCTTAGAAGTGCTTTATTTCTCTACTAACCGCAAAACCCCTTTCCCCCATGACACAGTAATTCTTTTCTTTTCTTTCTTTCTTTCTTTTTTTTTTTTTTTAAGGAAGAAAAAGGGAAGAGAGAGAACGAGAGCAAGAAAGCAAGGGGGGAAATCCTGCAAAGGCTTTCAGAGTCATTGCCTCAAAAGTAGATTTGGGCTTCTTGGCCGAAAGGAAAAAAGCGGCTAAGAGGCGTTCTGCACCTTGTGAGTGATCAGTTTTTCAACAGGTTTCTGGAAGGGCCCGCCTTGACGGTGTCAGACCCACGGGACACACAACTGTCTCCACCGGGCAAATATGTCCCCTCTTTGTAAGTTTTCCAAAATTGTTCTTTGATAGTCTCACGGAGCCTCCCCGGGGCCGGTGCCTGGGGCTGGCGCGAGTCGGGGCTTTGCTGCATGTGGATAGCCCTGCAGGGCAGGCCCCAGGGCGCGTGGGCTGGCATCCATTTCCCCCGCAATGCGAGAGAGAATTCGCGTTGTCTTCAAAAAAACGGCAAGTCCTTTCAAACACCCGGGCACTCATTCGCTGAGCTCCTCATTGCGGTTTGTGGGCCTCTGTGAACAGTTGAGTGACTTCTTTTGTAGCATGACCAGTATTTTGTGTGTACATACACATAAAAACAGTGTATACGTACACACAACATACTCACACACACATAGGTATATCTTGCTGGTCAGGAGAGGCCAAAAACAAACAAGCAAACAAAACTGACCTTTACATTGGAAAGCAGAAACACGCTGTGGTCATACCATTTAAATTTTTAATTTCCTCTTAAGGAAAAGGTGGGAATGGGGTAAAGATGGGAGAAACAAATGTGGAATCAGCTGTCTATACACACAAGACCAAAAAAAAAAAGAGGATTTTAGCACCATCTTCTGTATCACAGACTCATAAATTCAACAAGATCATCAACAGGATATTAAGTTGCAGGGCACCTTTGATTCAGCCCTCTCAGCCACTCCTGGGCTGGGCGACCCCTGACCCATGAAGGACCACATGTGTGGTGGGAGAGCCTCCTCTGTAAAACCCACCTAGAACAAAAGTTCTTTGTCAGAGCTTCAGAGAAGTGTAATGTAAAAAAAAGAGGAAAATTTGTAATGTAAAAGAAGGGGAAATCATGAAAATCTCAGCCAGTGTTGTAACTTTTAAATACCATTTTTAAGAAGGGGGAGATTGAATGGAGGCGGGGAGGTATCATAGGATAAGGCCCTCTCCAGTCTGTTCACAGAACTTCTCTTCTT